TTTTGAAGGAGTTCAAAATTATGTGACCCAACCCCTGATTTTGCCCCACCCCCTATACTTTATGACCAGTCCCTCAGTAGACCGTAGACCTACAAAACTTTGCACTAATTTGTACAATTTTTTAAGTTAACTTTTTCACAGATATACGGTATGCACTCTGATACTAATAGAACATGAAAATACTAATGATACATCGTGTTCCCTTTTTTTTTTTTTTATAGTAATGATTATAACAATTTGTGATATTAGTTATTATGATCATTATGATAATAGTGATAAATGGTAAATGCAAACACGGTTATGCTAATCTAAATATTTAAATCTATTACAGTAACAATATAATAACTAGGGAAATTAGTTTTAAATATCATTATAGTAATTATAATGATAGAATGAAGGCATTTAACCCGTGAAATAAAAATTACTAGTCAACGTGTAATAGTCAAATAGATACAAAAGAAAATAATGGTATTGAGATCTACCAATGTGTATTAGTCTAATATCTGTTTCACGGGTTTAATGACTTGACTAATAGTATATGGAAACACGATTAAAAATCTAAATAAATTTTTAAATATTTTTCGAAGATCTGCTACGAAATGACACGCAGGTATATTTTGATTGATCCTTTCAAAATTATATCCTGTTCCCATGATTATAAGAATGCCTCATATAGAGGAGCGACAGTGGCAGCCATGATGAAGGACAATGTAAAACGTTTTTATGACAAGAGATTACATTTTGTTAATGGGAAATTTTCTCTCTTTTTTCACCTTTGTGGCTGCCTTGCCACCCCTTTATAAAAGACATAGTCAAGTTAGGCGTCTTCTAGATCTTTGATTGGGTTTATTGTCTTCCAGGTTTATCACTAATAATGGGTTAAAATTCGCCAAGAGGCAAAGAGTTTCCGGTTTGGAATTTGCAAAAAATCCTGAAGGCAGAATAAATGCATCTCGGTAACATTGTGCATGAATGATACTAAAAGGTGTTGACAAAAGGGAAAAAAGTCGCCATGCGAACCAAATCGTGAGAGATGAACAACGCTTGAGAGCTTAATAACTGACTAAAAAATTCTAAAAAATAGCAATTAAAAGGAAATGACTTTTACTAGCCTTTACATGGGGCATTTTTGGTTTCACAGTCAAACACAGCAAATCTATTTATATTGTCATTATCGCTCAAGCCATCCGGCCTAAGTGCCCTTGAACACTTGACACATAACCACGCGTAGCACAAATAAGCTATTTACTGCTCGACGGCAAATATAAACATACAAATGTTACAGAAAATGAGCACTGAAAATTAAGTTAGAATTTAATTTAAATGGTGAGAAATTCGATTTATAAATTCATTTTCATTTTTCATATTTTGATGATGATGATGATGCAAGATGATGATGCATGATGATGATGCATGATGATGATGATAATGATGATGTATGTATGTACAATAATATTAAACCTTCAAAATAATAATTATAAATTCGTAATAATAAGTTAGAATTTAATTTAAATGGTGAGAAATTCGATTTATAAATTTATTTTCATATTTTGATGATAATGATGATACATGATAATGATGATGATGCAGGATAATGATGCATGATGATGATGGTGATGATGCATGATGATGATGATGATGGTGATGATGCATGATGATGATGGTGATGATGCATGATGATGATGATGATGGTGATGATGCATGATGATGATGGTGATGATGATAATGATGATGTATGTATGTACAATAATATTAAACCTTCAAAATAATTATTATAAATTCGTAATATTTAAAGTATTTATAGCACCAGAACCTCAGCAGCAACAAAATAACAGATATGTTACTTTTTAACGAAGTTAATATTTAATGAAGTTGTTTTAATCATGTGGTTCTTGATGTTGCKTGCTACACTGAGGACTTACTGTGTCATTGGCACCAAACGACTGGATATCAAACGTTTGCGTGACTAGCATAAAACCCACCTTCTGCGTTACCAACAAGGCAAGGCGTTCGTATGTGTACTACAACACGAAAATTAATAATTATATTTTACCAAACAAAAATACCTGTAATTTTTTTTGATAAGACATGAATTTGTTGAAATTCTTAAATTGAACCTGAAATATCTTGTTTTATCATAAGGTATTGAAGAAATTATTTAATATAAATATGTGAACAATATGTAGAAGTTGATGATTTACAATTTTAATTTCAGTCAAAACGGTAAACTTACCCCCCTCTAAGTTCCATTAATGGTTTATTTAATCGAATATTGAACTTATTATTCTTTCTGAGAATACGAAGACTCAGGATTTGAAATAATAACCGATTCAAAACTTGAATTCTGATTGGATCAGTTATTCCATATAAGGAACACCATAATACAATCAGAATTCGAATTTTGAAGCCCCGTACACACTATGCCGGATAAATCTGAATCCGAATTTTTATTTATTCGGTTTGGCCTACCGTCCACACTAGTCCGGGCGAATCCGGAACAATTCTTCACCGAAAACGATTATTTTCGAATACGGTCTCCAGAGTGGAACAATTTGAAAACGCCGGCTAGTCATATTAGTGTGGACGGAGAACATTTCGTATCCGAATTTTTTCGGATACGTTGACGTCATGATTATCATGGGAACATGGCGGGAAGGCTAAAAATTCACCGCGGGCTTAATTTCAGCTTCGATGCACATACTCAGATGTGCAATGAAGCGTTTTTGCAGCCTCTGATCGGACTAGTGTGGACACGAAACATTTTATTCGTTTTCATGTGTGGACGGAAAACTTTTTTTTCGGTTTCAGTGTGAAAATTTCGGATTCAAATTTATCCGGCAAAGTGTGGCCTGAGTCTTCGTATTATCAGAAAAAATAATCAATTTAAATATTCGAAAAATAAAACCTTTAATCGAACCTTGAGCCATTTACTGTAATGAAATTAAAATTTAGAAAATGACATGAGTGTCATTCAAAAATATAAGACAAACATTATTTTGATTAAATTTTTTTTCTTATCCAAAACTTAATCTAAAATAAGTCAATAAAAAATATTTAAAAGGGGCATAGATTAAAGTGGCACTTGGATGAAAATCAATAAAAATTGGAAATGACTTGAAACTTGTTTAAACTTATCTATATGGCTCAGATAGTAGCCAAGCAACACGTTTCCTTCAGGGTCGAAAGTGGCGGGAAAAAATTATCAAATTTATTCAGCATATAAATTGTGAGTAAATGACGTCATTTACTCAACCCTATTGTACTTTTCTCTTTTAGCCCAAAATATCTCAACAGCGAGTGGCTCCCAGGCTAAAATTTTCACTGATCAGATTTCCATGATTATAATTGAGTCATATTATCCTCAAATACTTCAATTATTCGGACTTTCAAAAATCGGGTGTTTTCATCCAAGTGCCCCTTTAAATAACGATAATAAAAAGAAGAGTTATGACATGAAGCTAAATAATGATAACAGTGTTTATTGTCGCAAAATATACACCTAATTGCAAGAACGTTGTCATGTAAAAATAACAAACAACAAGTCGGAATTAATTGTTTTTGAAGCAAAACTGGTGTAATTCTTCGATTGCACGTTACGTCATCGTGGCCATGTTGGTGTCATTTGACAAAAGAATTCTCATTAGCATCCATTGTTAACGGCACCACAATGGCCATTATGTTTTTGTCTTTTAACTCTCTTGGGAATGCTTGTAATCCATCAATTATTTCAGTATTTTGAAGGTAGGTATACACTGACATTTTTGATATTACCCTGTTGGTATATACTGAAACGGTTATTTTCATCAATTTACTGAGGGGGATTTAAAATCAAAATTTGAAAAAGATATTTCTAACTAATTCCTATTTTCTATTCTGTTACTTTTTATTTTTATACTGACAACGTTTTAATATTATATTTTGAGTCGGTGTATTACCAAGATATTCAATATTTGGTGCCTTGGCGTGGGGGGGGAAGTAGTGGGGGAAAAAAGTATCGGAAAATTTTAGCGGCTAAGATTGGAAAATATAAGAGACTAGTACGAAAAAAATCACAGACCATTGAAAATACAGGCAATCGGCATAAAGGAAAGATGTTGTATAATCAGCACTATTTCACAACTTCTCTTGTTATCTGGTATTGCGATGTCTTGACGTTAATGCCTAGGTATTGGCGCTATTTCAATGGTATAGGAAAAGATAATTATACATGCTTTCTCGTTACAAACCATGGAATACCCCACTTGTATATAATATAGTTATACAATGCTTTCTCGTGACACACCATGGAATATCCCACTTGTCACTTGTATATAATAGTTATACAATGCTTTCTCATGACACGCTATGGAATATCCCACTTAAATATAATAGTTATACAATACTTTCTCGTGACACACCATGGAATATCCCACTTGTCACTTGTATATAATAGTTATACAATGTTTTCTAGTGACGCACCATGGGATATCCCACTTGTCACTTGTATATAATAGTTATACAATGCTTTCTCATGACACACCATGGAATATCCCAGTTGTCACTTGTATACAGTCAATTCAAAAAACGTTGTCGTCGACCGGCTCAAGCCTACGCGACAGGACCGAAAGAAATATGGGTAAAATTCACTGAAGCGGTTAAATATTCGTTCTGAATTAATTGTTCCCGCTAGTAGTAAAGATAATAATGGCGAGGAACAATTCAATCCGTCAAATGCATGTCTTCGGGTTTAGGGAAAGAAAGATAAAGTAGTTATGATTCAGTACACAATTCCGAAAATATGAAGGCATTAAAAAGACGTCTCCTTCAACACTTCCCGCTCGCCTACGAAGGTTCGTGCTGTAAACCAGGCATAACTAGTAARMTATAGTCAGATAAAATTATGGAGTCAACTCGGCTTCAACGATTACTACCCAGAGTTCCTTTCGGTCCAGTCGCGTAGGCTTGAGCTGGTCGACGACAACGTTTTTTGAATTGACTGTATAATATAGTTATACAATGCTTTCTCGTGACACACCATGGAATATCCCACTTTATTTTCCCTTAGTATATATTCTCGCCTGAAGCCTCCTTTGGAGAATAGGAAATACAAGTGAATCGTGAGATATTCTATGTTTTACAACATTGTGAATTATCTCGCTTTCTGATTGGTCTAAGCTAGAGTCGGGTGAAGCAGTAGGACATACCGATGAATTACGTCATCAAATCATAATGTTGTAGAGAGAGAGAGAGAGAGGTTTCTATAGGTGTTTTCACTTGAGCTGGATAAGAAAAGTAAAATATGCAACGACAGTACCAAACACCTGAAAAAATAATAAAAGAGGCATTGCGATGATTTGAAAACTTCCAGCAGACTAGTGAATTTTTGAGTTTTATCAATTTTTTAAAATTTACCATGAAGAGTTTGACATTTCCAGATTTTGGATTTTTGCCTCCCATCAATGAAAAGTTTAAATATCCAAGGTGTTATTATTTAGAGGGCTGGAACACTATATGATTTTTTAAGCAGGGACATGGAGAATATGTGAAAATATATATTGGTTGGAGGGGGTAGGGGAGCTCAGGAAAATTGAAGCAAAATACAACTCGTTTTGTACTAGCCCTTCTCCCCCCCAAAAAGATCGGTAATAGAGTTATCTCAGACTACTGCTTTAAAATACTTGACATCCATATGATGGGGTGGATGGTGAGTCTAGGGCCCCGTCCACACTATGCCGGATAAATTTGAATCCGAAATTTTATTTATTCGGTTAGGCCTACCGTCCACACTAGTCCGGGCGAATCCGGAACAATTCTTCACCGAAAACGAATTTTCGAAATGGAACCAAACAAATAAAAATTCGGATTTAAATTTATCCGGCATAGTGTGGACGGGGCCAAGAGTGATTTTCCTTAACCCGTGAAAAAATAGTACGCATACTAACTAGTAGTAGACTCTAAACCCATTGTTTTCTTTTGTTTTTTTTCTTTTTTTTTTAAGCAACTGGTACTAACTAAAAGTCATTTTTCTTTCACGGGTTAGATGAAATCACTCTGCAATATGTGTGTGTGTTGTTAATATTGACGTACAGTGATTTATTTATTCATTCATTCATTCATTCATTCATTCATTNTTTATTTATTCATTCATTCATTCATTCATTCATTCATTCATTCATTCATTCATTCATTCATTCATTCATTCATTCATTCATTTATTCATTTATTTATTTTATTCATATTTCACAAATTTTATAACATACAAATGGCTGTACAAAAAAAAAATAAAAAAAAATCTAAAGCTAAATAAATAAATAAGATAAATAATCACTTACAGTGATAATCATCCCCTTGTCTATGGTGGTCAAACCCCCGACAGTCAGCCCTGTACTGTTACTATTCAAGTTGGATATGAGAAGCATCATCTGAAAGTGTAAGAAAACAAGCATGCATGAAACTTCCCCTCGTGACCGCAGCAGTCACTAGAATAAATAGATCTTTTCAGCTTTGACATAATGTTTTCCAATTCCAGACCACGTGTCATTCCCTAGAGTGTTATTTCTTTTTCTATATCCTGATGTGGACGTGACAAGTCCATGACTGTAAATATTTTATTTTGCTGGATAAACATATTAAAAAAGTATTATTATTTCTTTGTTTAAAGTGCCTATCACCCTTCTGACAATATTCACAGTATTGATTCTACATGGGGTAAGATGTCGAATAACCTGGAAAAAAATCATAGTTTGAGTGCAGCTTCTTAAAATTATGAAGGTTTTTCCATGTCATATGCTAATGCTGTAACGTATGAGGAGGCATTTATAGTTATTTGTTGTTCCTTGTCATTCGAAACACCGGCTTCTATGTGAAAAATAGCTTGCAATAATTTCTATAAGAGCAATGGGCAAAACAATGACGTATTTCAAATTACCGCTGTAACTGATTACAGACTCATTTACTCAGGCTTAGCCTCGAACCAGCGTCCAGATATTCATAAATACCAACGGTAAAGTAAAAAATGCACGGCTTTAATAGTGAATATTCTACTCAAAATCGAGGCTAAACCTGAGCTACAGAGAACTCGAAACTGGAGTATTGCCAAAAAAAAATAATTCTTTGTCTGATTTGCATTGGGTAGATATGCTGCAAGTGTCAATAGATTATAACTTTACCTCTAGCTCGCTTTCTCTGTCAAGATCATTAGCATTGATGTCATAAATGACTTCAGACAAACTGTTTGTCTACAACACAAGTGAGATATAAACTATTAGTTGAATGAGTACAACACGCTACCGGCTATACATCGAAAGAAACGATAAGAAAAATTAACTGAGCAACGAAACAGTATCATGTCCTCATTTTTTGCTTATTTGTCAGCGTTTTATTTTTTTATTCGTTTTACTGTAAGGGGGCGGTTGTCCTGTTACCGCCTCCTGTCACATGCTCGTCTTTTCTGTCCCTTTTGTGCTGTACTATCGAAATTTCAGCTTCTGTGACGTGTATCATTTATTCATTTATCAATAATCAGATGTAAGAAATCTTACCTTGTGGCTAACAAGAGCACCAGAGACAGAGACTAGAAAGAGGATAATAACATTGCTTATGATCCAGAATATGAACGCCACACGTTTGATTGTTGACGATTCCTCGAAGGTAATGATGCAGACGTTCAATGAAACACAGGTGATCGGTATATAGATGGCATAGTAGACTAAACAGGAGGGCGACAACGTGTCATCCAAAGCGGAGACCACGTGACAGAGCTGAACGTGTTCTTTTCGAAGTGCTGCAAAGTTGAGACTCTTTTTCAAAGAGATAGCAGCAGATGTCCTCTTGAAGACGTCATCAAATCGCTTAGCAACGAGGACACACAAGGCTACATAGGCTGCTGTAGAAAACAACCAAACTCCGGACAAGAACAAATTAATTGACAAATATATGTAGGTTATGATGAGAAAATTTTCATACCTCTTGCCAACCAAGATCTCTCGAAATTCATTTCGTCCCGTCGTTTCATCGGCTGAGAAAATCAGACCGAAAGAAACTATGAAGGTGTTGGTGATATATGCAAGCCAGGCCACAAGTACTATCGCTTTAATCTGACGTGCGGTGCTGGACATGTCATTTGCCTTTACCGAAACTAACTCTTTAAGGAATTTACCAAATTTGGACATCTTTTTAATTGTTGTACAACTTGCACGGAAGAACACAAGTTGTTGACTTGCGCACAGCGTCATCCATGCAACGGGAACTGAGGTCTGCATTATATCTAAGAAATTCTTGGCATCAAAGAAATTCATGAATGAGACTATCACTTGGTAACACATCGCTACCGATATGGCGATACAATAGCATTTTCCCAGGTTACACTTCGAGCTCTGCATTGGTTGTCTTCTGTTATCYACCTCGTTTCCTGCTTCAATATCATTGGAATCAGTAGGGGTGTTATTTTCAGGCTCAATGGAGTTAAATTTCGAAGAAAGACCTTGAAATGCTCCATCATATGCAAGACCAAAACATCTTAGGGAGAAGTGCAATGGCTTAAGAATTATCTTAATCTTATCCAGTTTAAACATGTTTTCTTCGCGGGCTTTATTCTCCGTGCTCCCAAGATCTTCAACATCATCGACATCGAGTTCAGTATCATTGGCTATTCCTATGCTAGGCGGTGTTGTTATGTTTGAAGACTTCATCGTTTGAATATATTATCCTATAAAGAAATGGTTCACATGGTAAAAGAGTAAAGAGGAAACGAATAAAAAGGGAAGTAAACTAACGAACGATTGAACGAACGAACAAACGAACGAATGAACGAACGAACAAAGGAACGAACGAACGAACGAACGAACGAACGAACGAACGAACGAACGAACGAACGAACGAACGAACGAACGAACGAACGAGAGAACGAACGAGTGAACGAACGAACGAAACATCCAAGACACTATTATCCACAAT